ACAAAGGCTGTCATGATATGTATCTAGTTGTCACTTGTAGCATTATAAGAGCACAAATTTATATGTAACAGAAAGATAACTATTTCACCTTCTAGCCATACATTTTAGCTCACATTAGTGATTGTGCTGCATAGAATTGATTCAACATAAATCAAAAAAGCTTGTTTCTCAACATTTAATGAGACGACTGTCTCAAATTCCTACAAAAGCACAGAAAAGCAATAAAATATTTTTTCCGAGGAATAACCGTCTATTACCTTCAGAGAACTGAAAAAAGCAATCAATTGTGAGAACAACCGATAAACATAAGATAGTATCCATATCAAAACTTAATCGCCTGTTTCTTTTGAGCATTGAAATAATGATGTTTGTCGAGAAATAGTATAAAAATCATAAATATTGATTTATTTCTGTAACTAGATCTTGCTGGCATCGGCGTGATTCAAAATTCGGTCTATCCCGTGGTTGGTTATATTCGAAACATAACTATAAACCAAAATACTGTTTACATGTCACAAGCAGATGCATGTCTTCGTTTGAACGGTTTAACAAATAATAACATCTTAATTGCCAATAATATACTATATTGTGGAAATCAAAAATCAATCACATCTGCCACCAATCTAGCTGGTGAATATATCTCGTCACTTAGATAATGTTTTCACTGCCTTTACCAAAACTTTTTTATTGTATTAGGCTATCCAATTTATAATAATGCCGTGAACGGTCCTGTTGGTGCTCCAGGAATTCAATCCAAGGGAATATTCACAGTCGGAAACAATGTCTTCGCTGATGTTAATAGTTTGAATTTCTATCCAGCTGCAGGGTCCCCATTGATTCATGCTGGTGTACATCTAGAAAATCAGTTTGCTCCGTATGATTTCAATGGAAAACAACGATCGCGCATGACACCGACTGTTGGTGCCTACGTAAGTTATAATACGATTAGTTCTAGATTCAGCATAAAATTGATAGGTTTTTTTCGATAATCTTTAGGAATTTTCTACTTCAATCAATCCTGGTTGTTCAATAACAAATAATTTTAAATGTGGTTCATCTACAGCTATTGTAATGAATTATTCTATTTAACTATGATTTAAAGAAAGAATACCACTATTATTGAAACATTTTTTCAAAACCAACAAATTTTGGGCTACTCATAACCCTGATTGAGTTACATTAAAGTCTGAAAATTCTGCTAAATAAATATTACTATAAATGAAGTATAATAAAAGCATCATATTCTGAAAAAGCCAAGAAAACAAAAGTATCGTTTCGTATAATCGTCACAGAAGATTATTAATCTCACTTATTCAAAAATGTGACGAACTACTTCCAATATATCCAGATAGAATATTAAATGTTCGTTAGGTCACGATACCCATGTCAAACAAGCATTGTTGTAAACGATCATATATGAAGAAATAAGGAACCGATACGGTCGTCTACAGGCGTATACGAACTCCACATTCATCGACCTGAGATAGCACTGTAGTTAGAGCTATCAGAATTTATATTTTCAAGGAGAATTATGATGTCTGAGCCGAGATGTTGTCACTTTATTGGCTCACACTGGAGGGTGTAGGTTTGGGTTTGCTCTCCATCTATTCACTTAGACTGTTTCGAATCTAATAATCAAATTTGTTGATCCATTAGATATATATTGTTTATCAAACCGATATCTTGAATTGATGTTCGATGTATTATATGAGTTTGTTAGTTTAATCACTTTCCTTGATTCGTCAGTTTTTTTTTGACAACGACTTCTTTTGTTCATCCTTTGAAGACGTACATTTAAATCTGATTTATTTTGAACAGTACTTGTAGTGCTACATTGTTCAATATTAGATCTTTATCATTAACATCAGTAGTCAATTGAGTCTTCGTTATTTTAACCTCGAAAGCATCATTCTTCTTCAGTTTTTTCGAACATTTAATAACAAACCTACTGAGTGTTTCTTCATTGGTTTTAATTCTTTAGCAGTTTAATCTGTTTTCTATCAGTGGAACGAGTTTTCAGCATGAGTACTCAAATTTGTTGAAGAATTTCACCTGATCGGATTGGTGATTCTCTGACACATTTCAAAAGTTGTTCATCATATTGAATTGAATTTTGCGACATTATTCTTCTCTATTTTTTTTGAACGTCATAAATTCGATTCATAGTACTAAGACTGAAACATTGTTTCCATTGTTCAACTTTTAGTACATGATTATTATGAAAGACAACTGTAATGTTTTATATGGAATTGACTAGTGCATGTTTATCAAGACGTATCAGTAAAAAATGAAGTAATTAGAGATATTTGTTCAATTCTGTTTGTAAATCAACAAAAATATTTGCTTGATTTTTCATGCAAGCAACCAAGTAACTAATAACGTATATTCTTGTAGAGTCACTCTAAAAATATCGATCTTCCTAGATGACAACATGAAAGGTAATATTTTTGAATAAGCTAATATTGTCTAAAATTAATTTGACAATAAGCGTTAAGCTGTGCTCGGTGTTAATCGTAAGATTGTACAATATAGGTCAATGATCATCTATCATTCTCACCTAATGATATTTTGCTCGTAGAGATATTATACAAGTTTATGAAACTAATTAACTGCTTACATTTGGTAAACCTAATGTGGATATATCTATTAGATCGTTTGTATTTGAATGTGTAAATGTAAGTCACTGCGAGCCGAAAAATGCTCCCCAATGTTCATTCATTGAAATCGATCATATTAATGATTTTCAATCAACGGATAGCTATTGAGCATGTTGAAAAGTAATTTTTATTTGATCGATGCATGATAAATAAATTGTTCATTTTTTCAAATGTATTAGTACTAATATTGATGGGTAGTTGCAGTTGTTGAATTTTGTTCTTCATTTCAAGTATCATTCGATTGAATAAATTTAAAACAAACAAAAGCTAATATTTGTTGACTATCGGTAATAAAATTTTCTGTATTTTACTCGATTTAATATTTAAAAAGAGCCTAAGCTGATTTATTCAAGTGTTACATTCAGATATTTTTGTCGAACATTATCTGCTAATTAGAATAGGATTAGTCAATATTCTTTCGAATTGAGTCAACTATTTCGATTGAACAGTTCCGAATTTGATATAATATATAATTGTACCATTGCTGGTGACATTTTCAATCATAAGAAGAAATAGCCAGAGAGAAAAATTAATGCGTACTATGACTTTTAAAAGTGCCTCGTTGTCAATAAGAAAACAATTAAATTGTGTAACGAAAATTGCTCAAATATTGAGAGTACTATCGACTTTCACAATAATTGTGTTTTGTCTTGCTTTAATAAGTAATCAAAAAAGTTGAGCGAGTGAATCAGTATCCAACTGTTGAAATCATTGGAAAAACAAATAGGTCACAGACTGATGGAAATGTTTATTGAATCTTGTTTGAAAATATCGATGTACGTCGTTTTCTATAGCAACCACTATTGTTCGGATACACTGTGATGTTTAATTAACTTCGCTTTAAAAATAATCAACTTCAATCGCAATTTTCAGGATTCGATACGGTGACACTCACTGATGGTAATTTCAAACAACTGGTCAGCAAAGTTTTCGACAAAATTACTATGAAACAACGTAATCAACAGGGTTTCGACAGTCAATTGCAAGATCTCATTATTCTTAATAAAGTATTCGAACGACAACTGCAATTAAAACATGTCAGAACATGATGAGATGAAATTTCCAACGAATGCTCTATCCATATTTACTTCAAAGTATCTCATTTTGAGTTTGTTAGGCTAATATTTGAGGCCCAGGTTTTTGGAAAACTCAATTTCATTTGCATCTTTTGAACATAAATAGTCAGAGAATCCATGAACAACACTTAAGAATTGACAAGATTGAGAAGACTGCTGTTTCAAATCAACTACGATGATCTGAATGCTGAAAGGAATTGAATAATATTTCAGAAAAGTAGACATTTGTGTCATTTTCAAAAGAAACTATTTACGAAAAAACTGAATACCAACGGCAAAAATATTCGATGTCCTCAGAAAGAAGTTATGAGCACGGATGTTTTTAATAGTAGACATAATTCATTAAGTTCTATAAGATGCGTAAAGTCCCAGCTCAAAACCGTTTAGACACTTGGAAATGTTCCCTTGTAAGATGTCCAATCCACATTTGTATTCACAATCAGACGCACACAAGACCTAAAAACATTCTAAGCAAAATCGACACCCATATTTCTTCATAATTCAAACTGAAAACAACACTTTCACACAGCAAAGTCGTGTGAACATCCATTTATTTAATTAACCACCAATTTCCCAACGACATTCACCACCTGATTTATATCCCATCATACTATAAGCTCTCTGCTATCATGCAAACCCAAAACAACAACCACAAGAACACAAACATCCAACTAGTAACTAAAACGTGGACGATCTTGTCACACACATAAGAAACCAAAACTTCATCACAGTGCGCGACATTTCGATCAACAAACAGTTCATCATGCAAACTTTGACTAATACCACAGGCGATTCTCTTTCGTGCCCCCCCTCATCATCCAGGTCAAACAATCTGGCGATATGTACAATCCTCAAAGAATTGTATAGTACCATTTAGTGTGAGATTTCTGAGGCTACAATTATTTGTACAATTTCATTTAATCATACAAGACTTGACCTGGATTTAGTTCGAATGACACTTTTGCCTTACTTGGATATTCCTAGAGCATGAAAATGCAGATCAAATTCATGTGATTGTTTTCAATAATGGGCTATGTCCTGAACGTGACCGTAGTTCCCTCGATCACATCTCAGTGAAAATTATTCTTGCTCTCTACAGAGTATATAGTTTGGCTAGCGATTACTAAAATTAATCTTCGTAAAATATTAACTTTGAAGAAATTGGAATTCATATTAAGATGTAAAACCTCAGATTGATAACTTATTATATAGATAAAAAGTAAGCGTTGTTATTTGAATCGAAATATTTTAGGCAAACATTTTCAGTTTATAATCCAGGAACAACCGTAGGACCTGGATATATAACTTGTGCATTAGGGACCTGAATTTGCCATGATTTTTTATCCAATACTACCGAGATATTATTTGTCATTGTTAACGACCCATTTGTACAAGGAGCATCCACTCCAGTAGCCGGGGGTTGTTTATTGGTCGGTGATTGAACAACACCTGTTCCATCGTTCATCATGCTCGTACATGCATTAGCTGGCCAAGCATTACCTACAGTATTATTGACGATGATTGAATTTGAAAGTGTTACTGATGTACTACAAAAGCTAAATGCTGCACCGAATGCACCAGCATAATTATTAGCCACAGTTAGATCAGAAAATGAACCCGATACAGGACTTGAACAGAATACTGCAGCACCAAGACCTGTATATGCTTTGTTCTCCAAAAAATTGACATTATTCAATGTTACAAAGTTCTCATTGGACAAAAATAATCCACCGGCACCACCTGCTGAATTATTGGCAATGACACTATTGCGAATGGATGCACTGCCACCTTGAATATATAATCCACCTGCTAGTCCATTTCCATCTATTGAAATGAAATTGCTATCTATCAGCACTGTATCAAAGTTGTTTTGTTCATTTCCATTATATGATACACGAAAGAAAGCGCCACCAAATTTATTTGCTTGATTGCCAGTCAATCTTGTTCCACATATCGTATTAGTTCTTCCTCTTCCGTCGAAGCTGATTGCACCACCATTACCACCATTACCCGGATTTCCCCCATTACCGGTAGCTTGATTGTTTCGAAAATCACTATTGTATATGTACAATCCACTACCGAGAATTCCGAGTGCTCCACCATTGGAACATTTATTTTCTTGAAAAACACTGCCGACTATAGTAGTATCACCACCACCTAAAGTCCATATAGCACCACCAGCAACATCTTGTCCAACAATAGGACCAGTATTGTTCTCAAAACTGGAACTAACAACAATCGTAGTTCCACCATTTTTCTGTAGAATAGCACATCCACCATCGGAATCTTGACAACGACCATTGATGAATCGAAGACGTTGAATAGTTAATGTCGGTGTTGAATATCGAAAATCTCCACGATCAAATTGTAGTATACGAGTAATACCTAATCCATTCAATGTCACAATACCTGCTCCATCAATAGTAGTATCGTTAGTTTTTGATACTTGCAATTCACTATTGATAGCAATATCCACTGGTTGTGTACCGCAGTTAAATGTAATGATACCACCCTTGAGAAGTGCAGCTGAAAGACTGTTTTGATTACATGAATAAGGTGTACCATTGCCGACAACAGTTGTTGGTTTCGAAATATCTCGTAAACCAATCGGAGAATTGCACACGTTTCTTGGCAGTGGCCAAGAATGAATTGTACAAGTTGCGACAAATAACCAGATTATCGACGAAATAATGATTGGAGCTCGCATCATTTTTTTTCTAATACAAAATAAAAAGAAGTGTTCTTCAAATAGTTTAGTACAACTTTTCAACTGATAACGCTGAGACCGGAAAAGGAATGGCCCCACTGAACTTTCTTTTTAGTTTATAGGAAAAACGGTATCGTTTGATAAAAGTTTTGTTGAACTGATTTGTCTAAATTTGTCAAGAATACATCATTGTTCATCGAGTTCCGAGTCTTTTCAACAATTTTCATCGTATCTCATGTCTATCGACTGGCGATGAAAAATCGTTTGGAGAAAGTTGCTTACTTGGTGATCAAATAACAATGCAAAAATTGATGGTGAGGAAGGCTTTAGAATGTCTTTTCACTATTTCGCTCTCTATTTATTTGGAAGGATCACAAAAGCTTTCCTTGCTTTCTTTCTTTCTTTTTCTTGCAACTCTATCCGAATATTTATCATACAAAGAACTAAATTGCAAAATCATGACATACTATGCGAAGAAAAGCTTAAATATGGTTACTTAAATTGTTTTTTTTAATTTTTAAATACAAAGCAAATAAATTTGTACTTTTCGCAAAGTACTTTTGCATTCGTAGCAAGCATGATACGAATATTTCAAGGACATTTCGTCTAAGACAAAAAAGTTTACTTTCCAATATCAGAAAACTGAAACATGTTCAAAATCAAAAAAGTATAAATTGTGTGCACGAAATCTTCTTCATTTCCGACCTTTTATTTTCAGATGATCAGTGTCTTTTGGGTTCTTTTATTGTTTAACGTGGTTTTTTTTTAAATGCTCGAATTTCATGAGGAATAAGAAAAACATGGTTTTCTGTATAAAAAAACACTAAAGAAAAAATAGTGTACCTTCACAAGCGAAAAAGAATATATACGTGTAGCTATTCTCAAAACCAAAATTTGGAAAACAGAATAGACCAATACTCGTTTCTTTTTATGTGTTCGATAGAAACTGTGGACAGGTAAAATATTAAAAGTGACAGAAATCAACACGAATGACAAAATTTCACTTCGAATTCAATTTGATTCATATTGACCAAAGCCTTCGACATATTAGAAAACTAGTCCCCCCCCCCCCCTGAGAAAAATGGAGCAGAAGATATTTTAGAAGACGACCGTCTGAGCATCGATTTTTTGAAAATACTTTCTGCAACTTATCGATGTTTTAGTATTTATGTCCGCAATCATAACTAAGTTCAGTATGGACAATATTTTGCTTCCGTTATCAAAGCAATGTGTCAGTTCCGAGTTAGAGAAATCTAAATTCTAGAAATTCGAAAGTGTTTTTATCATAAAGCAGCACATTCATAATTGAAGACAATATATCTTAAGGTATACAAATCGAGATTTGTTCTATGAAGTAATCATTCTGAGCCAGGGAACGTACTTCTTTTCACAAAAAGATCTAATGACACTTTTGAATATGTCCTGGAATCCGGAAAGTAAAAATCCGGAAAATGAAAAATTCGGAAAACAAAACTCCGGAAAAGACAAAACCGGAAAAGAAAAAGACCGGAAAACAAAAATCTGGAAAAATCTCCAATATCCTTATAACAAAGGAGGAAGGATAATACTCTTTCATAAATGTTTATGGTTGTCTACGTCAACCATGATCATCGTCCACCGCGTATCATTCTACTTCATTGTGCTCTGCGCTTCTATTATTATGTATAGACAGACGTGCGATGGCGCTGAGCACACCGCTGATCGTTAACTTAGCGCGCATGTATAAATACACTGTCGTTCCTCTCTATTATTCATATTTCACATCAATCTCACTTCTACAACACTGAACTATCTGGTCTTCTTATTTTGGGTGTGGGGTGGGTGTTGATGAGAAGAACGTGAACACCCACCACCCACACCCACACCCCACACTCAAATGTAGCAACACAAGGAGAGTTACGTGCTTTGTTCAAAGATGAATTTCAAACGTTTGACAAAGCTGACGAATGTGAATTGTCTATCAATCACGAGAATAATGATCGTATAATTTTAATTGTTAGTGGACAACTCGGGCGAAAAATTGTACTAGAAATTCATGATTTGCTACAGATGGCAAGCATGTTTTTATATTGTATGGACAAAGAAGCAAAAAAAAAATGAGCAAAAAACTATAAAAAAGTCAGTAGAATAACTTGAGTGTGATTGTAGGCAAGTGTCTGTATAGATGAAGGTGATAAAATGACTGACTATCTCGCAGATGCGGACTAAGAGCTGAAACGTGGACTATTTCTTGCTTATCGCATCACCTTATTCCATCTTAAGATATTTTCTTCGCCACTCTACCCCGTATTTACGTGATAGTTTTTGTTCTTGGACCATGTTTTATTTTACGTTATATCGAAGTGTAAAAGGTAGTTATATAGGGAAATAAACAACGAATCCTACGAAAAAATCTTACTTGATTATGTTGAATATGCTTGCCGAGAAGTATGTGAAATACTCCGAAGTTTATTCTTTATAGGCCATCTGTTAGTCTGTCTAAAAATGGCGAGTGGATTGATACAACGGTGGGTTTTAACACTGAAAAGACTCTTTCTGAAAAATAAATAATTGCTATAAAGAAATCGTTGAAAGCCGTCCTAGTTTAAAGTACACAATGATATTGCTAAGCAGAGAGAACTAGTTTTTGTCAAGAATGATTTCATCACCAAAACTGCTGAAATAGTTATCCATTATGTTACTAAAGTTTTGGTAATGTGATGAGAGCAAAGATCAACAAATTCCACGAAGTTTTCTATCAAAACTAATTACACAGCGAATTTACTTCTCTGAGAAGTTCAAAAATTCTGATTTCACACAGTTCTGATGTTGTCGAGAAACTTCATATTTAAATATAATTTAATCGACTCTTACAGTAGAACTGAAGATCTGGAAGAACAATATGGGTTCTGATTTTATGTTGCAGATCAAAGCGGTTATCACTCGGTCAAATGAGTTGATTAAAGAGATCGTACAAGAAAAATCATCATTAATGTAACTTCTTCTAGTTAAATTATTGAAAATATGACTTTTACTCTTCGAATTATATTTGTGTCTTAGGTCACAATTGGTCAGTCCTAATGAGGCCCAACCAACTGTTAGGACACCTTTGAGTGATTATGAAAAGCAACCATTTATGTCTCTAGAAGAAGCATTAAAACCAGTTGATCATTTTATTGAAGACCTGCCAGGATATGCAGCTATTGTCAAAAAGGATTGTACAAATCCTGAAGATGGACTAACACAAGATGAGTCGGCTTCTATTATGATCTTCGGTATGGAATGTGGAGAAACTTCTCTTTATAGAATATTCAATACAGCATTACGCTCAGAAAACACCGATAAAATAAAACCATGGTTTTCATATTTGAAATTATTCATGACAGCACTGCATAAATTGCCATCATTTCAAGGAGTAGTTTGGCGTGGACTTCAAATCGACCTTAGTATGGAATATACTAAAGGTCAACGTCATACCTGGTGGACTGTATCATCCACAACTTGTGATGCATCAATATTAGGAAATCTTATGCATCAGTCTGACAAACGTACAGTACTTACAATTGAATGTAGAAATGGAAAATTCAGCAAAAATCATTCTATGTATCCTCAAGAAGAAGAAGTGTTATTAATGCCAGGATTTCACTTTGAAGTTACGAGTGTATTAAAAGCGGCACCTGATATGCATATAATTCCCCTAAAAGAAATTGATTCACCATGGTGAATTTTCCTTCACATCACTATATCTGTACCGCATTAACATTCTTCATCGCGATTTTTCTTTAGTTGTATTTGTGTTTTAAAATTTCACCATATGATTATATATTTCCATTTGATTTTTTCCTCTCTGTCCTTTGGTATTTTTCTGCGATTGTGATTATGGATGTGAATATGGGTTGGTTTGTGAGTAATTCCTCTTCATACTCACAGCAGCATCTACACACTGTTTCTTCTCGTCATCTTTTCTGTTTTGATTCACAAAATCATTTAAATAAACTAAACTTTTATTTAAAAACATGATTTTACATTTTTTTTTCGGTTGCTAATCGCGCTCTTTTTCCTGTGACTGTTGTACTTGAGTCAACATGTGTATGACAGCCTCGATCGTTGGGATCAAGATTAAAAAACTTGGTTCCATAAATGTTTAGTTACGATTCTATATTTCAATAATAAAATTGTCAATAAAATTTTGAATCTAATGAAACTGTCAGAATGAATAGAGCGGATCAAGAGAAACTTACTCAAAAATTTTCAGCTTTATCCAACTTTATTTGGTTGAGAATATTGAAAATAGAGGATGACAAAGCTTTATTTCATCACAGTGTGCTTCAGAAAGGCCGAAAGAGAAAGCGTTCCCGGGATTAATATCGAAGAATGAAAATGTCGAAACCAGGAGGTGCCGAAAAAAAAATTCTCTCTAGTAAAGTAAGACGACAGATGAGCCTTTGTCTATTAATGAAGCAAGACAAAAGGTTAATATCAAGTGTTGGTGAATAGAAGACCACATCCTAATTTCGACTTTTAATTTGATAATAAAAGACTTATATTTTAAACGGATAACAGCCCGTTCAGTTTTTGATGTGAATGTGGACTTAAAACTAAAAGTCTATCATCGTGGCCGTAGCTATTTCATCTTCACCATTTATTTCATTCATTCATTCACAAAAACAAGGAAATCTTTGCTATCAATTGATTAAAAAGATTAATGATCACAGTCGTTCTAAAGATACAGAAACAATTAAAGTACATAAATTTCATGAAATAGTTTTCTATTTTTTTCTCTCCTGACTTTTTTATGATCTCCATTAGTTTCAGCTTCGATATTGTTCTTTCGACTTTTCTATAGCCAATTTTCTGTCATCCTTAGACACGTCGATCACATGAGTTAATTATTACATATGAGCAAAATTAGTATTCTTGATAATTCTACATTAAAGCAATACTATTTAGATTGAACCGTGATTTTATGCACCATAAGATTAATGTTTATCCTTCTTTTCAATGAGTCACATAGATAAGAAGATCATTTATTTTTTTTTTACATAGGATTAAATAGTGATTCACTTTTTTCGAATAGAGAATTCATTCTCTTACGACTGACTCATTGTAGTATTAGAAAATGTTCTTTGTTATGATTCATCAAAACAAAATAATTCACTTTTCTATTGTATTCAATAATATTTAATGGATAAATATAAATGATTGATTTCAAATTTCTAATCCTTCTTGATTATATACAAATATAAATTTTTAAAACGATTCAATCAATAATGTTCTCTGAATCTGATGACACATATTGTTCATTTGATGATTTCCATGTTTGAAAACGATCAAAATATTGAGAATTAACACAAGAACGACAAATACAATCTCCTGAACAATCATGAAGTAAAATTTGTTCATGTTCTATATATCGATTACAAAGATAACAAATAAATTGATGAGTTCGATTGAATTCATTTTCTGGTTTCGTACCATTTTGTATCATTATATTTCCATTATTAATAAATTTAAGAAGAAAACTAACTTTTCTTTCAAGTATATTGATATGATTTTCTAATTCAATTTGTTTTATTCGAGTTAAATTTAATACATTTATAAGTTCATTAATAATTGGACGTACTTGTTGAAATGAACAATTATTTAAATGTATTGAAAGTATATCTTGTGATCCTTTCCATGGACATTTAATATCAGCCGATGGACAACATACAATTCTTTTCGAACAATTTTTTTCATGATTTTTCCAATGACATCGTTGAATATTTATTTCATTACAACGTAAACATCGAACAAGAAGACGATCAAGTTGATTAAGTACTATTCGAGTATTAATTGGAACATATAAAAATTGTTCAAATGATTGATTATTTTTTTCGAAATGATATCTTGTAATTTGTCGACAAATTGGACATGTTTGATTTTTATAAAGCCATTTTTTTATACATTCTTTACAAAATGTATGATTACATATTAATAGACTTACAGGAAATTCAAGTGGTTGTTGGCAAATAACACATTTAAGTTCATTATCAATTTCATTTTCATTTATATATTCATAATCAGAATGAATTGATGCATTCATATTTTTTCAAATATGATGAAAGAATATATTTGATCTTTTATTTGTAGCTAGGTAATAATAAATGACCGTTACACTTCACTTTTCTTTTCTCTTATGTGTTCATAATGATATAGACACACCTGGAATAATGAAGTAATTCAATAGACATTATTGTCTAGGGTGACGATATAAAACTACATCTCCTATTCGTCATAAACTGTAACTGAGTTTTTTTTTTCTATTGAAATGATATACTGAACGTGTATGACTAATAGAAAAAGAAACTTATGTAAGTTTTCATTTTTCCTTTGACTCATGATCTTGTGAATCATCTTTTAAAATAATGAGATTTTATAAATAATATATATATCTTTTTGATTACAATTAAAACTCGCAATAATTAGCTTATAAATCTAACATTGATAGTTCTAATTTTTAAATACGATACTGCTAATTCGAAAATAATATCAAACAAATCCATGTCAATAATATGTGTCATTGAAAAAAAAGAAATAAGATCCAGTATGAGTCATATTTGTTACATTCTGCACAAATGATCAAGTGTAATGGTAACTACAGCACGTATCAGTTTGTAAAAGAAAAATCAAATGACTATGCTGTTTACAAGATAAACTGTGTTGAATGTAATAGATCATGTATTGAAAACGTAAAATAATCAAAATTTATGATTGTAAATATTGTAATCTATGAAGAAGATCTGCTCGAATGATCGATAATTTGGGAAAAAATAAAAAAGAATGACTTGTAGAATATAAATAATTTTATACACTGTTATATATTGTACTAAAGAACATTACTCTCCATTCATTGAATGTTACAAGTATTAACTTAAGAAAAATTAATCTATTTGATTTTATTAATAAAAGGTACAGTTAATATTGACTAACTATAGTTAATTATGAAAATTGAAAATGTAATTTAAACATGATAAATCAATATTGCCCTTTTTCTGATAAATCTATGTGTTTATTATAGAATGTTTATAATCCATTATCCTGAATAAAAACTTTGACACATATCTTCTTCAATTTAAATTAATCTTGATTTTTTGTTTGCTTTCTAATCATCCTTAGAAGGAGTAGAGTGTTGGCATGATTCTTCTATCTTTTATCCTTTATCTAATTATTTTAATTGGAAAAAAATACCGTGTTAGTCATACAAGATATCAACGTTGTCGATTATTGATGCCTAACGGAAAGATGAATTAATGAATGATTCTAAAAGTATTAAATTTTCTTCTTCATAAAATATATTATAGGATGTTTATTAATGATAATTTGAAAATCAGGCTCGTTTCATGCAATCTGAGAAAAAAAATCAATCTCATTAATGACTACAAATAATTACAAGATTAAAATCTCCTTGCTCTTTCGATCGTAGATTAATTGAAATTACTCCGTATGTTGACCATAACACTCGTAAAGTAGTACGAATTTCGTTGTCTATAGACTCATCTAATGGTAATATTAAATATATATATTACTCAATATAACATTTATCTGTATGTTAAACTAAATGGTAACATAGTGCAAAAGAAAGTAAAACATCCCTCTCTTTTATCACACAATTTAAAATCATATTCAATTAATTTCTATGTACAAGTGCTTATCTTGGTATGAATATTATAAGACATAAAATAGTTCAGAAAAAGAAAGTGTAATGACATTTCTCAGTAATAAATTTATCGATCAGTATTTTTATTTTGTCAAACGGTATGGTGGTCTCTTTATTATGTGAAATGTGCAATCTTGCTAGATTATTCTATCAAGAGCAATTTTCCAAACATGTCGTCGTATCTATTCTGATTGAAATTGAAGCTGTGTTCACACGTCTTCTCAGTGGCAAATTACTAAAATAATCTTATTATCAAAAACAAAGGTAAATATTGTTCAAATAAACGATATGTGTCCTATTTCGATTTTATCATGCTTCTCGAAATTACATGAAAAAGTCTTCCTTACACAGTTATATATTTGATAGCATGACTAAGAAACTACCTATCTAGAAGATCATCCTATATAGCGATGAATAGTATAACATCCACCATTTTTTCGGCTGCTGTGACAAAATAAAATATGTTGATACTATTCTCGATTGTAAGCATTCTTTTATTTCACACCTTACGAGGGAACCTCCCGAGGTGTAACCTCCCGTTTTGATTCATTTATATCTCATTTAAGTGAGCATATTGAGATAGTAAATACACTAAAAGGATTTGGGTTCCTACTTCTTCTATCAAGAGTTATGAACATTTTACTGAATTTCCTATCTATCCCTAGGTATTTACTGTAAAAATAAAATTAAGGAATTTCGACCTGAAATTTTGCCTACAAATAGGCCCAATAATCCTTAAANCACAAGCAAACGGCTTGTTGGTTATTAACTGACAAAGCTAGCCGTTTATCGGCTGATAGATTATCAAGAGTGATAGAAACAAACAAAAAGGATTAAAATTGTTCATCAGATTGATTTGGATAGATAAAACATTTCTTATAAAAATAAAACACTTCATTCAAAAAGATTCAGTTATTAACTATTACGTTTACTAAGACCAAACAAGCTTCAATTTTTTACAGCACAAGGAAAAAAAACAATAAATAGTTCACCTTTCTGCTAAAATAAAATCGTCGAAAACAAGACAATTTCATTGGTTTCTTATGAGTTTTCATGCACTAAATTACTTCAAAACTTTCAAAAGAATTCATCAGACTTCATTAGATTTCATGAGACTTCAATAGACTTCAATAGACTTCAAGAGACTTCAATAGACTTCAATAGACTTCATGAGACTTTATGAGACTTCATAAGACTTCATGAGATTTCAAGAGACTTCAAAGACTTCAGAGACTTTATGAGACTTTATGATAATTCATAAGACTTGAAAAGACTTCAAGAGACTTCAAAAGACTTCAAGAGACTTCAAAAGACTTACGAGACTTCATGAGACTTCACGGCTGAAGTCTCTGCTGGTTCCCCCTTGCCTACACCCACACCCAAACTTCGATCCGATTCAATTCGATCGAATGATGACTCGTATAATATCTAGAAGGTGAAATACGACGTCGAGTCTAAGTCCACAATTAAAAGGAAAAAAATGTGTTTTTTTTCTTTGGAAAGTACGAAAATAATTACAACCAGCGAGTCTCATAAGAGATGATCCTATATATCTAGATAGTTCACATTAGAAGATGCTTCACATCGAATAGAAAATATCTTTGAAAGGAAGAGCACAAGAGCACATTAGAAAAAATGCTTTCTGACTTCGATATTTCTTCACAAAAAGTCGATTTCTTTTCAGATAAAAGGGCGACTAAAACGGTCATTTTAGTGTATTCTTCAGATTAAAATAAATTCACATTCATGCGAAGGAGAACAGAAAAAAACACATGAAACAGAATTCCTATTTGAACAAGAAACACGAATATCAATGATCAATCGCTCATGTAGCAGCGATCCGCTATACATCCCGCTAAGCTCGAAATGGGGCATGACGAATTATATCAGTAAGATAATCACAGAACGAGATCTTTGTAGTGTGACTGGGCCGATAGCATTTAATGACATGTGAAAACAGTTGTAGGCACTACTGAACATATGATCTGACTGACGAAGAAATCTTTTCAGATGCTCCCCTCTCGGATTTCTATGAATTTTTGTCTATAGGTACTACATAGTGTCTTAATAAAAACCCTAAAAGCGTTTGCGTTCTTATTGCTTTTTTCAAAAGTCATGCATATTGTTATTTTACCGTTATAAGACATAACATATAATGTTGAAAAAAGGGTTCGCCGACCAACTAATCAGGTCAGATCTTGCAAAACATTTTTCTATTTATTTAGCGCAAATGAAAGATCATATTGAGAGACTTATATATTTAAGACATCAAATTGTTCTGAAGTACTTGTGAAAAATACCAAGGAACACAATCTTCGTTTTTCGCGTAGTTCGATCGCAAAAATTGAATAAAAAGTTGTTTTTACATACTGATGGTTCTTTTGAGAATTTTTCTGTCTCGGATCGCTCCATCGATCCAGAAAAAGGTCTTAAGAGCTACAGAATGTCAAGAGTTTGCAAAAACTTGGTTCATTTTTTCTCAGTACCATTATTCGTTGAGGTTAGGAACAAATTACAAGCAAAAGAATGATCACCAAACATGCACACCCTTTTATTATGAAAGTATAATCAACTGCTAAAACTCATTGTAATAAACACCAGTATACCACATTTTGTAGAGAATTTTTTCTTCACCTTTTAAGACCTTCTTCTGGATCAATGGGGCGATCTGAGACAGAAAATTCTCAAAAGAACCATCAGTATGTAAAAATAATTTTTTATTCAATTTTCATGATCTAACTACAAGAAAAACGAAGACTGTATTCCTTGGTACTTTTCACAAATACTTCAGAACAATTTGATATTTTGAATTTATAAGTTTCTCAATATGATCTTTCATTTGCTCTAAATAAATAGAAAAAATGTTTTCCAAGATCTGACCTGATTGGTTGGCCGGCGGACCTTCTTTTAAACGTTATATGTTATGTCTTATAGGGGTAAAATAACAATATGCATAACCTTTGAAGGAAGCGATAGGAGCCCGAACGCTTTTAGGATTTTTATGAGGACACTATGTAGTATCTATAGACAAAAATTCGTTGAAATCCGAGGGGAGCATCTGAAAATGGTTCCTCGTTAGTTAAATATATTTATATTCAACAAGTATCAGTTTAAAGCACCTACGTATAATTCATGACAATGAAAAAAAATCTTTTCACGTGAAACAATGTACCGCGGGGCTTTTCTTCCAAAAAACAAATTCTATAAACTCGACAATGAAAGGAGCTGGAATACTGAAATCCTGTGTCAGTGTAATAGATATCAAATAACATCAAAAAAGAAGATTTTCCTTGCGTTACACTGGGTTTTAATTGAACAATGAAATTGTTTTTTAATATTGCATATTGTACGTTATAGAGACAATCAACATATTCATAACTTATAGA